AAAAATACTTAAGGCTTTAAAGAGTTGTTGAAACAATATCTGTCCAATAATAAATAATGGAGATTGCGTCAGTTGTAATGATTTACACTTGTTTATATTTTACTTCAGACTGTTAATTGCATTGAGCATCATGTTGGTAGTAAGATGTTATAATGAAAATCCTGTGGATAAAAAGCTGGTGTAATAAATGAAAAATGCTTGGCTTTTTGGCAATTGGTAGCTGCTCCACTTTTTTAACCTTGGTAAAATATAGTTTTGCAGGAGGATTGGTGGCAATAATTGGCAGGAATATAATTTGTAATTGTTATTAAAATAAAATTCAAATTGATTTTGCATTCTGTATTCTCAGTTTGGAGAATTGGAATATCTAGATTGCCCTTTATTTGTTTTTAAGATAAAATATTAACCATTTTAAAAATATTAATACAATTAAATTAGGAAATCAAGAATTATACTGTACTGTTGCAAAGGTTCAAAAGATACACAGGTTGCAAAAATTATTGTTTTATTTTGTTTGGGGAATAGGAATAGATTTTGGACATGATTTCATATTTCAATTCCATGAAATATTATGCACCTAAATTATACACCTATAATTTGTAATTATATAATTTATAATTATACATCTAAAGAACGTTATTCTTTAAAGCTTTGCAGATATAGTGAATCTTTTCTGACCCAACTTGCAAATATACTATTTCTGTTTTGCTAAAAGCTCAACTATATCTTTTGTTTCTACACAGGAGCCCCCAGAATAAAATGTCAAGAGCTTCTGGATTATGTAATTGAAACAATAAATGAGTCATCAAGATATGCTATTTATGGGGCCGATTGTAATAGCATATTACTTAAGGACGTTCTCAAAGTGAGGAAATATTGGTGTGAAATATCTCCACAACAGTGGTCAGGTTTGTAGATGTGGCTCTTGTTTAATGTTGACTGGACTTGTGCAAATACTTAGGAACAAATGCTCCTGAACTTATATAATTCTTCCTTAGTAGCCCAGAAAAAAATATAGTTCTGTGTCCTATCAAATAAAACAGGACTGCTTCAATTGAAACTAGTCAGGATTACTGTCAAGATCTTAAATAGCATTCAGTGGGAGATAACACCTGGAGCCTTCTCAGGAAATAAACAGTTGTCTCAAAGGTTATCAGATGGTTGACAATGCTTGGACTTCTAGTAATGCCTTTTCTGCAATTTTTGCAAATTTCTCATTTATTAGTGTATGTTAGTGGTCATAGATATCATAAGGGTAGGAGAAGATGGAGTCCTCAAAGTCCAAGGCTGAAGAAACGAATCCAAGGGTTGGGCAGTGGTGGGTTCCGGATCCCATTCCAACCGCTACGGTTG